CTAGAATACCTGTTTTTCTTCACATATGTGTAAAATATCCTGTCTCAATAAAAACTAGGTGCCAGGTGCCACAGCAAAACAAAAAATAATAAAAATTAAAAAAAAATCATCAAGTGATAGAGGTCATATTGTTTTCCATTCCTTCAGATTATGGCAACAAACTTAAGGCAACTAAAAATTAAGCAAAAATAGTGACAAAAATCAATTGTGTTTAGACTCTGTTTGACATTTGCAACATCCAGCAGCAATTACAAATTATTTCACTTAACACAGTTCAAGACAGACAAGGTTACCACAAAAAACATTTTTTCCCGACCATAATTCATCAACTGAGCTAATGTAAATTCATCATGGATGATAAAAATGGCAAAACTGAGGGCTCTAGATGTCTGCTTGAATTGGCTTTGTCCAACTTTCTATGATTGCAAAATGAATTAAGAAGCAAAACCAGCCATTCTCAGGAGCCAAAGCCTTAACATAACAATCTCTTGAAATATGAGTCAAAGTTTTAGTGAAAAAGAGAAATGATACTATTAATGAGGCAAGGAGACAGGAACTAAAAGAAATAAAATAAAATGTGTTGTTAAAAGTCATGGTAGTGCATCACATAACCTCACTTTCATTGTTCAGAATGATGTCTTCGAAATTGCCACAAAATAACAAAAGAACTTGAAGAGAGCTCTCATATAACAAGAACAGATTATAAACCACCATGAGCAATACATTTTGGGCAATATGAAAAACAGAGTCCTGATCAGGACTAAGTTACTGTAGGGTCAACCAAACCTCACATGGTATCAGGGCTTTGTCATGTACCACAATTATTACTATGAAATACATAGATGAAGCATTAGATAAGAATAAAGGCAATGAATATAGCTTATTAAGTGCATCAAAAATTAATGTTGCTTGAATTTTATAAAAAGTTTTAAGTTAATGGTGTGCTACATTCATCCATGACCTCTTCTCAAGTGTAAGAAGTAACTATCATTTGAACCACATCACAGGGATTTTTTTGTGTAAATCATTGTTACTCACAGATCTGATCTAATATATCACTAAGCAAAGATTTAAGTGGAAAAAAAAAGTTTTCTCTATAAGGACTAAAAGCCAATCCCCCGTAATTTTCACTGATAAAATCATATCACTTATGATACCACACTACACACTATTTTCTTTGAGATATGTCACATTTGAAGAAAATCACTGGTGTAAATTTTGATGATAATCCAAAGAGTGCAGCACTTTGAAGACACAGTAACACAGTGTGAAGTTGATTGCTAGATGTACCCACATATCACGACGGAGTAGCACTAATATATAAATTACAAGGCCAAGTTATTGTGAGTGGAGTATTTAGAGAACAAACTCCACTGAAAATGATCCTCAAGGTGCAAAAAATTGAACAACTTCAACTGGGACACCTAACACAACATAGTGACCCTACCACTGACAACTCACTATTTTTCTGCAGCAAATTTTATTAAAAACAAAATAACTTGAAAATGTACGAAGGGGAAGATGATGCTTTAGAGATCCAAGTCCTGCTGAGCGATACGTGAGGACCAAAACAGAGGGTTACGCTGGGCGTTTGCGAAGGGGCTGATGACACCGCGAATGAGAACAATGGGAAGCCAAGACATGAGACAATGGGGGTTAGGGCGCCTTGGGTGTCTTCCACAACAAGTGCTGGAGTCTCTACCCGACGGAGGAAAAGCACGAATACCCTATCTCTCTCTTCAACATCGCAGAACCTCGGGTTTCTGTTTGTTTACATCCGTGAAAGTGATAGCCAATTATAAGGTAAAGCCGTCTTACCTGCCCCGAGAATTTTTCGACTTTGGCCTTTTCGCCATAGATTTGAGATCATCCGGCATTGGTAATGAAGATGCGTATCCATGTTCAGCTTCTGGAAAGAACGGAGAATTGTGTTAGAAAGTCAGCTGAGCTGGTGAAAACAACAAAGTGACAAGGAACGCAAAAATTCCAGCCATGTTGACGTGGATTTGGAGGAGAAAACTGGCAAATTTCGCTCGAAACTCACCTCTTTCTCTTCTCTCCAAGAATTCCGCTGCTTGTAGAAGTGCATCAATGCTCATATTGTTAATTAATTATAAGTTAGAGTTCAAATTTAAAACGACCGATTACGCACGACCCGACGACACCGCGACCGTTCAACCCGCACCCACAGTACTCACTAGCATTTATTGATGTCAAAAGCTTCGAGGGAGCTGTCGGCCTAGCGGCTGTAGAAGCCGTTCTCCCATTGGCCGCCTTCGGAGCGACGTCAGAGCGGCAGCCAATAGGAGCCCAGGTTCGGCCCGGTCGAAGAGGAGAGGTAGTCACGTGAATCTCATGCCTTGAAACAAAACAAACAGCTGGGCCTGGCGAACAACTTCGGCCATCTCCGGCTCCGTTCGGCTCCGCTCGGCTCCGCTCGGGACCCACCGTGCCACAATCTGATTGGTCGGCCGGCCGACGCTATGCGCGCGCCCGCCAACTTGCCTCTCGGCGTCTTCTGCTGTCAGCCCTCCCCAACCGAAAATCGTGGTTTACGAGCTGAAAAGGGCGTCATCGAGGGACCATCATTAAAGGGACAGCTTCTGGGCTCCTTTAATAGCACACGTGAGATGTATCAAATTCAACAATGATTTGCATCCTTATCCGACAGGTTATAATACCCATGGAACCACGTGACTTTCATGCCGTCACCACTCCGTGAACATGGAGTCGTCTAGCCGTGAACGACCAGATTTGACCAGTGACTAGCGGACCTACGAAAGGGAGGAGTAAAGAAAAATGTACCTAGGTGATGGTGAGTGAGGCAACCTCGTAATCATAAAACATCCGTGAACGTTCTCGTCGATCAATATGGAGTCGTATTGTTCTCTTCAGATATTTGAGAGGCAAACTGAACACAGTGGCTTATCTGCCTAGTTTCCGATTCAAAGGAAGGGAAGGGGAAGGTTTTAACTCAAAATGTCAATTGCTGACAATTGGCACTACAAACGCGCGATATTTGATTGTCAGCGGGCAAATACATGTTAGAAAAGTAGAAAATGTCTATAGTCGGGGCACAGGTAGAGATTTATTCCAAAGCTTTCAAGGCAAAAAATGTACACTCGATACACTGATTTAGATGTCACATATTGAGATTATATGATACATAGAAAACACCTACGTTTTACTGAGTGTAAGTGTTTTGGAGGTAATGAATGATATGACAAGGCCATCAAATAGCCATGTGTGATATGTTCACGAGTAGTATTTTTGAGAGACTTGGGGAACAATCATCCTATTTGACATTTTTCTTATGTGATGGCAAAATAGGGCAAATAATAATTGTCCCTGGATAAAAATATATTTGGAAAATGAACTCATACAATCCCAGCCTGAGCACACAGAGTATGATTCTTAAAAAGAGAACATGAGGTAGGTAAATATATCTGATGATCAGATCATAATACTTAAATAAGAGGATCAGCATTTCCTTAGGAAAGATATCATAAAATGTTAAGCAGTTCTTTTTTTCTTAGGTTAATCCATTCAATTAATGTTTAATTTCTTTTGAAAAAGTTGCTTTGTTTGTTGTTTGAATTTGTACTTAAAGATTCAGTGGATTAAACAGATCAAACTGTCCTTGCAGCAACTTAAAGACAGAAATTAAGCAAAATCAGTCTTCCACTTTCCCCAGAGACGCCTAATGCATTGAATGCGCTTTAATGTGGGAAGGAATGTGCACTAAAGGTGAGACCTTTTAGGAGCATTTCTACATGAATTGAAGTGGATTAAATGTGTTGCATTTCAGGGGAGGCTGACAATAGTTATTCATACATGCAAGGGGAAAAAAGATCACTTAAAATTTTACTTTGCACAGTGAAAAGCATCACACATTTCACATTTTCATGAAAGTAATCATAAACTTTCAAATAAAATTATTACAGGTATTAAAAAGTGTTTACATCTGACAAAGCTTAACATTATTATTATTACTAGGTTTCAAATAAATAAAATAAATTAAAATAAATACCAAATAGTAAAACAACCCATGTAACTAAATTGATAGTTTGTCATCACATGGTAACAATGAATGGTTTTCCATAACAATGCTTTAAGATACAAATGTTAAACAAACTTAACACTTCACAACTGTCAGACCATAAAATATACGACACTCAGGGCGCAGCTACTTTGGTTTCTACTGATTCAAAAATAGTGTATCACATTCAGGAATTTAAAACAAATAAAGAAAAAACATATATGAACCAGCATAGACAGTTCCAACTTGAAGATTGACCACTGATATGCGGATAATAATACATCAGTCAAAGAAAAGCTTTGGACTTTACTTTCTGAAAGGACTTCCTCATGATGTGCTACAAGAATCAATGCTTGTAGAATCAAACACCTCGTTCGACTTAAAAGCTTTCTACTATATACATGGAATTTGAATAGACAGTCTTTTGATAGACTATTATTAGCAAATGAGATTAGAAACTGACTGTAACATTGCTCTCACCATAGGAGGAAAAATGGCCAAATATAAAATGTTATAAATCCCAGCTGAACAAATGATGCTTTACCAACATGTCTCTTACCCCATCTTTAAGTGGCTGAGAAGTTTGTTCCTTCTTTTGTGGCAGCTCCCAATCAGGGTTCAGGCTGAAGGCAAATTGGGATAAAATTCGAAGCTCACATTTTATTTGAACCCAACCAGGGCTAAAGATAAAACTCCAAGGATGATACCTAAAATGTACAAAATAATTAGCATTAGGAAGAAAAATGTTTATATTGCATTGAAGCTGAGAAACAGGGCAAGATAACAAACCATTTGTGAACAATATCAGCACATGAGCATAGAACTTCAAGCCACAGATGTAGAACTTGCTCATTTAAGCCCATGCACACAAGACTGCGTAACTTTACATCCATTTGAACATGGGCATCATCATGACTTTGGTTGATTGACTGAACACATCGATACAGGAGCTACAAGAAAAGAAATCATGAATCATCTAGTAGGAAAACAACTTGATGTTATGGAAATTGCTTTTTCTTCAGCAATTTAATTTAAAAAGTCAAAGATTTTAAAAAAAATACCTCTTCTGGAGTTAGAACTTTTCCATCTTCATCCAGTCTAAATGTTTTACAGAGCACCAGCCTGCTGTACACAGAGTTGAAATCTTTTTCAACTTCTCGGGTGCATGCCTCTTCAATAAACAACCAAGGATGACATGTACCACCTATAAGAAATAAGAAACAAGCAACAATACAATAAGAAATTAAATTATTTCACTGCATTAAGGATATAACTCAAAGAACAATTATACATGAAATCAAGTTGCATATGCTTATGTTAATACCTAAAATTGATGGCTTCTTCATGCCATGCTCTAAAACTTGTTTGATAGCTGGACACATAGTTCCTCGGACAAGATCTGTAACTGCCTCAGAAACAGCATCATCACCAGCACAAGAATATTGTTTGCTTCTTTCATCTAGTAGTTCAACAAATTTTGCGGGAAACCATCCTGAGAAATTTAAATATGTAAGTCATCATTTTCAAATATGTAATGGCAATTCATTAAAATAAGGGATAAAACAATGAGAAATTATTTACCTCGTAGACCATTTAGTTCACCAACCCAGCAATGCTCATCTTTTTGGCTAACAATTGTTATGATGTCATTTTTTCGAAATCCCAGTTCATCATCATCATGCCTCTCAAAATCTGAAACAACAGAAGATTAGCTTGGCCTGAAGATCTTATTATACAGAATCTGGAAAAAGAAGGAACCATTTACCCAGAAGAGCCTTGGCTCGACGTTTTCGGGTGCGTGATACATTGACATAGACCTCATGGTCCCTAGCATGGCTCTCCATGCTATAGTCAGGTTCTAGAACAACCTTGCTTAGCTTAGGATCCACAGAGATAAAGTGTCTTGCCACTTGTAATACAGTCTCTCGTAAGCTGACCATGATTTCTGTAATGTTTAGTTTTATTAACACTGACAGCATAACCCTGGTAATTACTCAGTTTCATTCAGAAGCACGTACCTGTTTGACGAATGTTTTTCAATTTTATGTCATCTTCACCATCCATGTCACCAAAAAGTAGCAACTGAATCATGGATTTATTTTTCTTCACCTGTCGCCTACAGCAAACAAAACAGAGTTATGAAGCAGTGCAAAAGTGTAAAATACTTACTAGAAAAACAACTACCATAAAATAATTTTATCAAAGAATATGACAGTTATGATCAGCAGAACATACACACAAATCTCACGTCTAAGTTATATTGAACATCGAAAGTGCACAGTACTGTCTAGTAGCATGCTGTGAAGAAATAGCATGGCCTTACAACACTTACATATGGGTGAAAGTAAGGCAATGAGGCAAAAAGCGAAGCTTGGAACACCAAAAGCAGAGAATGCTACGACCATAACTTAGTGACAGGTCTGCCAGGCAAGCTAAATATACAATCTAGAATGGCATGAAGAAGAACTGCAGCAAGACGAGCTGACCTACTAAGGTGCTGTTTTGGAAGGTTTGGCATATTTTCTGGGTTTCCCACGAGACCACCTTGGTCTGACATTAAATAAGCCAAGTGGCGTCTTCTGTGGGTTTCAATCATCATATCATTCAGAGAAGATGCCACCTCAAAAGAAACCTAGTGAAGAAATCAGAGAAATATAATTATTAAACAGAAATAGTTTCATTTCTCTTTTTCTGTAAAAATTCAAACCCAGAAATTAATTGTATGGTGTACCTGGAGTAGCTGGTCTACATCTTCAATGTCACCCGGAGTATCAGAAAGGGCATTAAATATCTGAGCAGAATTTTCAAGGGACTTGAGGTCAGGCTCTACAAGAATATGAAATATGAGCAGGTGTTATTCACAAATTACCAAATCAAAATTTGAAAGTAAATAAAGAAAAGTATTTTGAAGTACTGAAATGAAGTACTACCTCTGATCTTCAACATCCCAAGAGTAACTTGGAAAAGAACTATGGAGCCATCAAAAAAGAAAAGATCCCAAATACGAAGTAGAATCTTCATATGAACCACAGATGCAAAAATAGTTAAAAACCAGTGCAAGGTAATTAATGATAGCTCTATGTCATGTTCCTTTAGCACAGAGTCCAAGTCAGGTAGGTAACTACAAATAAATGTCCTTAACACCCTTTGATCAGCTTGGACGCCTGTAAAATTTGTTCACATTTCATAATTTTAACTTAGGGAGCAGGTGAAAGTAACTAAATATATACATAGTAATGCCTACCAATTAGAGTGGAAGAGTAATAAGATGCTGGAAGTAATTCTTCTACAATAGTGCTCATCATCCAAAAAGCATCCTCTTCTTCCATGAGAAGAAGTAATGATGCTGCCATCATTCCTGTTCCCTGACAATACCTGGAAAAATTGAAATGGATTTTGCTTGAACACTTTAGTGTGTATATATCAAGTGCTTACATTGCTCTAGGAGGATAGGATACAAAGAAAAAACTATCCATACACCTACCCTATTTCTGGATAGAGCCAGGCTAATCCTCTCAGAACCCTCCGCAGTCGTGGGATGCCAGTGCTCGATAGCTGACTAAAACATGCATTTCCAGGCAAAGTTCTCAAGAGATCTTTCTCAATTTGCTTGGAAGTCATTAAAGCATCACTGCTGGAAGCCTTAACAATATCTTTGTAGCTTACTTCAGATGTTAATTTCTTTTGCAAAGCACCTGAAGCACAAGTCACATGGTGAAAAACTTCTGCCTACATTTCTAAACAACTTGTGAAGTCTTCTGTTGTTCTTTTTAGATTTGATTACTTACCTGAAAGCCTCATCCAGACTTGTGGCCTTAAGGAATGTGGTATTCCGGCTCTAACCATGGACCTCAACTTTTCAGTACGGGGAAGAGATGTTTCCACATTGTCCCAGGACAAATCGTTGATGTCCTTATTGTGGCTAAATTCCAAATGGGCAACCCATTGTAATCTATGACATAAATAAAATGGTAATTGAAGGCTTTGAGTTTGATATTGTTGTATTTGGTATTTGGGATATTTAAAAAGAATATTTTGAATTTCTACCTGTGTTGAGGATCCTCTACAAATGGAATGCCTAAAAGTTTGTTTGAACTCTGCTCGGGGCCATCCTCCTCTTCTACCCTGAACCCAAACTCATCAAACCTGTCAATGGAAGAAATGAAATATTAGTGTGTTTGTCATCATTAAACGATTTAGAGAGCCACAGTACCTGACCTGTAATCTGGTTGAGAGTTTGGGTCATCCAATTGCTGTCCAAGTTTTAAAAGAATGTCTTGAGGCCACATAGATGGAGTGAGGGCAGAAAATGAACCTCCTGGGATAGGCGCAGGGCCATCTTTGGCAATGGACGAATGTTCCCGAAGTCCATCTAAGTAGCTGTTCAAGTATGAATCCTCATCATCTGACGCAGCTGTCTCCACCTTATCCTAAAAGTATAACACTTGTGAGTGCAACGATTTCCATGGATAATGAAAACTACAACCAATTAAAATAAACATACATTGTAGTCCTCCTTTCCACCATAACCATCATGTGGTCTAGATCCAAAAATGGTCTTGGCGATATCCATTAGAAGTGATTATATTTAAAAATTCTTAATTGAGACCTGAGGGAGTATAAAAGGAAGTTTAATTTAAAATTCACTGAAAACACTGGCAATAGAGGTATTAACCTATCTATCGATGTCCGAGCAGACGTCACTGACGGTTTTCTGTGAGTTTACGCCAATTTCCATACCTTGTTAAAGAGACGGAGGTTTTACGTGAAGATCAAGATTACAAAGTCCAGTTCAAAATACCAACAACAGCGAGTTGAGGGTGAATTGAGGACATTTTAGTGAGAATTTGTCGACAAGCAGAGTGTCTGTTCTTGGTCTGTGTGTGCCCAGCTGTCTGTTTGCTTACGCACACGACACGCTGCTGCGCCACTGCAACCGCAACCGCAACACCCGTGGGCGAAGTTGGGTATGAGAACATCTCAGGCCAGTAGAGTAGCACTACAACCTATCTCCGTAGTGAACGACGTTCGAACGGCTTATTCAACCAAACAATCTCATCATAAGTCTTTTATATTATCCCACTTCAACATGATGGAAATCTTTGTTAGTTACTCATGTGGCTCACGGTACATACCTTTGAACTGTCCACAGTTTAACTATTTCTCATACGTCATGTTCTCAGCTGTTGAATGGATATCGACGACTTAAGATTTGAGTGGCGTGTTATCGTTAAAAATGTTGACGAAAACACACTCCTTAAAATATTGATATTTATAGATCCTATTTCAATTTTTAACACATTCTCTCCGACAGTATGAAACCGCCGCCGCTTCGCGCTGCAGCGATGACGGGAATGACCATGCTGTAGAGGAACGCAACTTATACCCCTCACCCTCTTTAGATTTTTGCGCGACTTCAACAATATTCGGTGTAGGCAACCCCATACGAGGCTCTGCCTCGGGCTGGCCACCAAGGTCAACCCCTGAGGCCCTCCCTAGCCGCTAGCCGAGGTCCGGCTACGCGGGCGATTGATACCATAGCGGGGGTAGCAGGGGTAGCGGGGGTGCGTTGTCCTAACGTGTCCTTGCGTGCGCTACGTCCTGCTACCAACACCGCAGCCTAATAAGCTGGCGTTCTTCCCTGAGGACACCCCCCTTGGCATAACTTCTACCCTTCCGCCCACCCGCGGCGCACCGGCCCGCCACCAGAGGGCGCCACCTCCCAGCCGGGTCGCCACACCCAGGTGGTAGTGGGGATGCCACCCCCAGGCTTGACCATTTGGGGTCAGTAGTACCCATCCCCTCCAGGTCAAGTGACCAATCAGAGCAACCCCTAGGGCACCCCCCGGATCCCGCGGTGGGGATGATCCCTTAAAAAGGCCCTGCACAGGCAGGAGCGTCAGTCTTCCGACCCCCTCTCTTGTAAGGGGAACCCCTGCCCGACGACGGTCCGATCGCGCCACCAGGACTTCTGGACTTAGCCTCCGGAGGGGCCACCGGAGCCGCCGGACTCGAGTTAGAGTTCGCGCGGCTCCCTCCCTCCTACTTCCAGACCTTCACGGCGTCCCTACTAGGCGACGCCCCACCACAGCCAGAGGATGGACCACGCTATCGATCGGAGCCCCACGGCTTCCCGATCAGTCGCCCACCGAGGTCCCACCGACCGGGCGCACCTATCGACCGCTCCGCGGCGCGCTGGGCGCGCTCGCGGCTCGCCCAACACCGTACCACCACCACCGATGCATTCCAATTAGTTTGTTCCCCCAAATTCGTGAGTAGAGTGAAAACCGCAGAATTAGATGGGTGATAATCGTATGACCGTTCGGGCGAACGCGCGCGACGGATAGGCCTTAGAGTTAAGCTTAGATATTAAGGTGAGTGCAGGGCCCTAACAGTAAATGTAACATCTTGTTGTTCCGTTTGTATTGACTTCAATAAATAGAGTCTTTAACTATGAACGACTTGAGTCTTACTCCTTAACGATGGATCGCTCCTCTGTTCCAAATCTGGTTGATGGCTTCAACAACTGTGGGATGAGGCAGCAGAGCTCAGGGCAAGTACCGAGCTGACCCGGAGTAGTGTGGGAAGTAGCGTTTCTCCTGGGCGTGTCCGGTCTCTGTCACTCCCTAGGCTTTGACCCGACAGGCTGCGCGGTTAGAACCACACCCCATTACGTGGTGCATACCGAGACCTTGACACACGCTCACTGCTTGCCGTTTGTAAAGCAGTCCTGTTCGTGAGAGTCGCGCACGGAGTCACTACGTGTGCTCACGAACCGACTGACGGATTCGCGGCGCTGCCGGCCCTCAGCGGTCAAAAGGCAGTCACAGGGTTTCACTAGCTTTAAGATAGATTAAACCCGGCGCCAGGGGACTCTGGACTGGGCCCTCGTCCTCCAGAGTCATTTCCGACAATAAGGCTGCGCTCAGGTTAAGTTTCGGTCCTGCACTACTTGGTGCATCGACCCCCTGCCAACCCTCCGTATAGTGGCTAACTGTGCATATAAGGGAACTGCTCCGGCCAGCTTGGCGAACTCCGTGTTCATTACAATGCACACTCGTGTCACTCAAAAGCGGTAAGCAGCAATCAACTACTTTAGAAAACCTCTCTAGTCATGAAATAATTAGTCTACAAGAGCTCTGTTAACTCTACAGTCAAAAATATTTCAACATTATGCCAAAAACCGGAGCTTCACCTTTCATCATCATCTTGATTCATTTGACGTCAAGATGATAGTTCCGTGTCGTTTGGGGTAACCGGACGTGTCATATAAATCAGCTTAAGAGGGTGGGGGGAGTGGTAACGTTATCCGATCGCTCTCTTATGCTCTCCAATAGCTTTCCAGAGGACAGAAATTGTGAGAATATCCACTTCGAAAATGACAGGGGTCGAGTTTGATATCCAATTGTGTTTATTGGTGCTGGTCATAGTCTTGGAACGATGATCAACTCAAAAACGAAGCAGGCTTCCTTGACTTTCTTTGGAGACCAAACTGTGCTCGTGCACTTATAACGGCCGTAAGGAAGCAACGGGAAGTTGGGTAGGGTCCAATTGATTGGCGTATTATCCATTGTGTATGTTTTCTGCAACAGTAACATCTTTACTAAACATGGATTTCAACAACAACGGAAACTGATTATATCTACCATAACACTTATTTTTCTGCCTTTCGGATGGAGGTAAATAAGTAGTCTTGTATACCATTACAACGTAGCCTGCTTAAGTAGTCACAAACATGTTGAAGCTCTGCATCCGTAACGCGTGTCAGGGCCACGACACAGCAGTATGCGGGTTTGCCTACTCGCTCCACCCGTAAGGAGTCATGTCCCGTAAGGTATGCAAACCCGCAACACTATAGTGTCGTTCAACGGACGTTCAACGTAGAATTTCGTGTACCTCCAAAGAACCTTCCGCGGACTCGAAACGCTCTGTCATTTTTGTCAGGGTATTAAAAACACCGTTGACTTACTTTGAGGAATGTACAGAGCCCCTTACTCCAGGCACTTGCTTGATAAAACGTCTCGTATAGCCCCGGAAAATTGGAGCGTACTGTAGAACAGTATGCCTTGGGGATACGATAGATGATGGAGTTCTCCTTCCACTGGTTGTTGGTCCACACATCCAGCTTCAAGTTGCCCTGAGTACAAAATTATGATGTTTTGTGTTTGACGATTGCAGACAAAAGTCCGCTCGGC